GGGGGGGGGGGGGTGCTCAAAAAAAAACCTGATCAAAAAAAAAAAAATGCCCTAAGATTACACCCAGGTCTCCAGGGTGGAGAAGCCTGTAATTATAGGGTCAAATGGATTCAATTTCTTTATGACTGGAGCAGCAGCAACTGTACCTTACTACAAGAAACAGTCTTGAAATATGGAACAAATTCTGCACCTTCTCTTGCCATAAGGGTCAACAGCAAGTACACCCCAACAGATATGAGCTTCAAGCATCTTGCAGCACAGCAAATTTAACAAGTGTCACTCTGCTCAATGTTCACAGAAACAGTGGAACAATTCACAGCAGCTGGTGGGTTGAAGAAAAGAAAGACATCTCACTGATCAGTCAGTTTCAACTGGGAAGAAGTGTACATGTAAAAATAACTAAGTATAAAATATTATGTACATTAATGATAATTATAATAATGATAATAATAATAATATAAAGTAAAGGGGTTACACACCACTGGCGAACAAACTGCTGTAACAGAGGGGCGACGTCATGAGGGCACACATAACCTAGCCGGCCAATAGTTATGGCTAGAGCGAGCGGGCAAGAAAGAAACCAATCAAAAAACAGAACACATAAAAACAACAACTCAGAAACATAAACTCTCTGTACTGCGTGATCAGTATTACAGGCAAAAAACATACTCCAATACTTTCATATTAATTTTATATCTCTCCAAAATCTGATTACCCCACATAATTTGGGGGTTAAAAATATCATGTCAATAAAAACTGTATTAAATAAACTATACTGTTCTCCTTTACTGCACATATGGGGCTAGTCCATCAAATAATTCTGCCAATTACAGAAAACAAAATCCACACACAAACACACTTGCATCTTGTTGCCATTAAAGCCTGATCTCAACAAAACAAGGTGAAGCTGGGCAAGTCACCACCCTGAAACACAAACACTGTTCATTTATATACAACTGGTAACATTCACCAACCCCATCACTTTAAAGTTGGCAGGCTAAGATTTGTTTCAAACAGATTCTTTAATAGAATGTTCCGGTTTTCCTCAGTTCAAGAAAATATCCTCACCTAACAGAGCTGGGGTGAAGACTGAATGAAGCCTGCTGGCATACAGACCATCAAGTGTTGTCAGCTGGGAGCTGGGGGTCGCAACCTTCAGGCCCATTAAATTATTTAGCTGTATGTCAATGTTATTTTTATTTGAGATCTCAGTCTCTCTTGGCAGTGACTACAAATATTATTGGGATATGGCATATGATGACACATAACCTTGCAGATAGGTAAAAGTGCTTTGGAGGAACTTCAGGGCCTAAGACTGCATACCATCCCGTGAACCAGAAGGCAGTCATCTTCAGATTTTTTCATGAAGTACCAAATAAAGCAATCATTCATTTAGAGTCAAATAATATGAAAGGGCAATTATGTATGAGAATGGGAAAAACAGTTCCCTACACAAAAGCAACTGATTGATTCATCAGATCAGGGGGTTATGATTTTTTTTTTGTATGCTTTTCATCTTCAAAAGCGGCCCCAAGCAACAGGTAGAATCAATATATACATAGGCAGTACTAAATGAGTTCACACATCATTTGAATTACAAGCAGATGTGACTTAATGTGACTGCCCACCCATTTAAAATGAATCAAACTTCAATAGCAACACTTAAAAAAAAAAGAGAGAAATAATAATACTCTAATAAAGACATCTAACGAATGAAACGAGAATTTTCAACGCAGCTCCCCCACTCCTCAGTACTTGCATCTACCGTCAAATATCTACAAAATCAAGCAACTGCAATATGCTAGAGAGAGAGAAAAAAAAAGAATAAAATAGGCACACAAGAAAGTTCAAAATGTGTTTTTTGTGTTAATTTGTACTGTAAACAAACATATACAAGATATCTGACGTGTGCAAAAGAAGAACCCAAAATATGATTAAGTGTTTATAAGAATGTGATGCTACTGGGGTGTAAATGCACAATCCTGAAATATGAAAACACAAAAAAAAAAAAATGCTCCTCATGCCACTGCCCTCTCAATCTAAATGATCTGCATTTTTCTTCTCTGCCTGCCTGCACACTGAGAGCCTCGCCGCAAAAAGTACACACAGTACTAAAAAAATTATTGAGAATCTGCAAATTATTTATAATTCCTGAACAAGAAACACAAGAGAAGAACAATTCTGGTGACTAAGACACAGCACCCACAACTCAACTCCCTTTACAACAGACGTGTAATAAATTAACATGAAGAACAATAAAGAAAGAAAACAGCCTCTTTATTACAACCGCCACAACACAACAAATATCACGAACAGTGCCTAGTTTCAGCTATCAATAGCCATCATCAGGCAAATACACGGTTAACATATATACACCACTGAACTGCAGTACTACTAAAACTGGATACAATACTATTAATTATATAAAACACTTGACGTAAAAATCAGATTATATAAAACTTATATATACTACGCTGAAAAACAAATGGACCACTTTTTTTAATTGTTTCATTTTTGGTCCGTTACACTCGACGGACTTTCTATTAACTTTGTAAATGGACCACCTTTACCTATTTCGGCCATAAAATCAGATCTATTACAAACCTTTTCAAGAATACTGAAGTTGGTATCTCATATAAGACAAAAAACAATATAAAACATCTGTTGAAAATAAATGATGACAAAAATGATATGTATAATCTTAGTGGGGTTTACCAACTACAATGTTCTGACTGTCCATATACAGGACAGACCGGACATACCTTTAACACACTGCGGACCGGTTGTTTAAATATTTAAATCACCCTGGGGACCAGGGTTTTTAAGCCTAGCACCCTAACTTGTGCACTGTTCACTTTAAAAATTAATATAAAATCTCCTAATTAACTTTATGAACAAAAATTTTTGGAGAACACTTATCAGAGCTCCTAGAAGTGTATCTCTGGAAACATTCCCCTTTGTGAAGAGGCATCACGCAGAAGTTATACATACTTTCCATGAAAGCAGGTATTCTGCAGTTGCCACACTGTTGTAATAATTATCTTCATAAACGTGATAATTTTGATCCAGATAGGGACCCAAAACAGACACAATAGTTTTTGGCAATTTCTTGCCTTCAGCAGAATAAATTTCTAAATTTCCTATATAGTCTGAAGTGCTTTCCGTGACTACATGAACAAGTATAGTTACTGGCTAACTTCCTGGTTCATACGTGGAAGCTTGGACTCGAACAAAGGCTTTTTTCTTTAGGGTGTGACAGGAAATGAGCGTGATCATGTTACTGGCTTAGCTAGCAAACATTCCCGAGGTCAACTACGCAGTAGTTATGATGCAACGTGGCCACACAGCGAGATATAGTTGGTTGCAACATAACGCGTCAGAAAAGGGCCAATTGGCCCGCCCAGTCCGCAATGCTATAGAAACGTAGAGGGCCAATTGGCCCCGCCAGTCCTGAATGTGTTAATTTCAGATTCAAAGAACACATACGAGACATAAAAAATAACAGACAAAGCTCCAAATTTGCTCAACATATTGTCATGTGTTGGTGGTATAACGCGACAAATAACTTCAGGCCATCTTGGATATAGCGAATTTTATTCCACATTCGCTCTTACAAACACACAATTTACAGATTCGCAATTACTGCTATCTGCAGTATCACAAATACTAGACTGCAAATGCCAGAATACAACTGACTAGTTGCTGGCTAACTCATTACTCTCCGCTGGCTAGATTGAGAACTAACTGCTGGCTAACTCAGAACTTGGAACTCAAGAACTGTTGATCACACACTCTCTCGTAGGCTTGCTCAGAACTAACTCGTAGGTAGCTGCCTTGAGAACTAACTGTGAATAGCCTTCGCTGCTCCTTATGTAGCCTCGTTCCGGACAACACAGTATATGGCCACGTAATAGGCACCACTGTTGTCTGGTGCCATGTTCCTAGCAACGCTGTCTGGAGTTGTTTACTGCTGCCTAGTAACCGCGGTATCCCTTGGTGACATCACCGCTGTTGACTCGCGTTGCATAGCTACCAGGATGCTGGGATTCGGCTAACTTCGGCTCCGCTCGGCGCGTCAGCTCCGGGGGGGGGGCGTCCAGCTAGCGCGGCACGTCACAATATATTGGACACCACACATGAATATAGTACAACAGACAAAACCTCAAATCTTACAAAACATATATCAGCAAGAAAGGCCGAACCTTGGATACATATGAAAGATTTCACATTTACAAAATCAGCAAACTAAATTTGCAACTGAATGATAATTTTACTGAAATGTTTAACCCTATATATGATGTAATAACTGATACATACAAAACATAATATACAGTTATACCCCCTTCCCCCCCCACCTTCACTTCTGCGTACACCTTATCTCTACCTCTCCCCTCCCACCCTTGCATTGACTTTAATCTTACATCACCAAATCAGTCGCTGTTTACATTCCCTACAGAACAGACAATACTTCGTAAGATGAGGCACCGACTAAACAGTAAGTAATATATACTATATCTTCAATACCGAAATCAATTGTCGATTATAACAAAATTTAATACTATTTACTTTCATATCATTTTCAGATTAACATTAATTTACTACATCTACATCACAAGCCTCCTATACAATTTTATATACACAAAATATAGAATATTCCAATTTGTCCGTGGGAACACAATGAAATTACAAAACCAAAGACTGATTCAATGATATAAAACATCAATCTAAGAATTTTATTCTTGTTTTATACTATAACTTCTGTTTTATATAATCTGATTTTTGTATTTTTACATCAAGTGTTTTATATAATTAATAGTATTGTATCCAATTTTACTAGTACTGCAGTTCAGCGGGGTATAAATGTTAGCCGTGTATTTGCCTGATGATGGCTGTTGATAGCCGAAACATGTAGCAGAGCCGAAACTAGGCACTGATCATGATATTTGTTGTGTTGTAACGGTTGTAATAAAGAGGTTGTATATTGTAACACAACAGGATGCATGAAATGAAAAATACAAAACAGCTAAAACTGTGTTTTGTAAATAGGTGTATTCCTTTCCGTTTATTTCAAATTGAAAACAAGTGTTTGAAAATGAGAGCCATGCTTGACACTTCTGTCACATACTTTTAGTACAATTCATTTCGGCAGTGGCTTGGAAGCACTTGAAATTCCAAGGCAGTGGCATGTTATGGAGACACCACAATATGGACCTAACTGCATAAACTGAAAAATATCTAAACATGTACAGAAATTAGTTAAAGCATGGAAATTCACACAAAACTCCCAACACTTCCAGGATACCTGAGTTGCAGTTACATGGAGAGGTATCATACAGCAACAACATAAAATAATCAAATAAGATTTGCAGGACTTCCAATACCCATTACACAATAGTAATACGTGAAACGGAAATAAAACCTAAAATAATAATAATAATAATAATAATAATAATCATGCTTTGGGTGAAGCATGAAAATATACTGTATATGTACATTAAGTGAACAATAACAAATAATTACGCTATGCAGTATGTGTGTGTGAATCTTACATCCGAAATATAGACATACAATTCTTTCATACTTATTCAGTAAAGTACTGCACACCAAACTGCGCAGTGTAACCGTTGGCACTCTTATGTCATATCAGAGAGATCAAAACTTTCATTTACAGCCTGCAAGTCACCCATCTTCAATTTGGTTTTCCTTACTCAGTGGTATCACTGGGCCTGACTTCATCTTGCGTCATTAACAGGGCACATGCATGCAGCCCGTTTCAGAGAACCTGCCTTTTCTTATGGAAGATGTACCACTGCAAAAGTCATCAGACAATGTGGTTCCAAAATGATCTCATGCATCTCATGCGCACACAACGAGACAAGCACATCATTGTATGAGATGTGGTTGCCATCACATTCACTAGACTTGACTCTGCTTTTGCCTAAAGGCACTTAAGCAAACCACAAAAACAAAAACAAACTCAGTGGCTTGAGCCTGCAAGAACTATATCAACCGAACGACTGCTGCTTTTCGGCAGAGTTAGTGCCAACTTTTGCAGATAGAGGGGTGTCGCATGGTCAACACAACGAATCCCCATGGCCATTAATATCGATTTTTGTATACGAGAACCACTATTTCCTTGAAATAGCTCCTCAATTATCCTCATGAGTCTAAGTGGACCCCGTTCCAGACCCACTACTTCTCAGAAAAACTGGTAGCACCGGGAATCGAACCCAGGATCTGTATCTGTAGCCAGGATCTCAGACCACAGACGCGGTCAGAAAACCACACACACAAAATCAGACACCACAGTCAATGTCATGATGAGGTTTAAACCAGGCACCCCCCAAATAAAAATTGGAAGTGTTACCACTTCAGGCAACACGTTTGGTCAGACATGTTAAAATTTGGTACTGTCTAATACCCCAGCCAGAAGGTAAGTACACCCATAAAAGTTCAGGACTATGTATTTTCTTCACAGAATCAGTCCAGTTATGTTATGCCTCGTACTGGAATAAAAAGTTCAGTAAAAATTCAGATGAGATTACTATTCTTCTCTGAGAACAAGAGTGCATGGTGTCATAACATAGAGGACCACAACTTCAGTTTTCTCTAAGATTCACACACGCACATACAAGTACACACGCGCACGTGCACACACACATTACTCAGAACCCACTGCAAGTAGCAAAATACAAATGCCTGTAAACTGAATGGATAAGATCATTTTGTAAATGCTGTAATCTAGCTACATATGCAAACAACAAAAACAATCTATGCAGTTAGTAACAAAAAATGTTTGATGATCCATTACATTATAACTGATGTAGGTAAACTAAAACGAATAATATTACCTGTAAGAGACTTCAGTTATACTCCTTTTTTGCAAATTTACATCCAAAATATCAAAATTTTGCTTTGTTCTCATTTTAACTTTTACATACATAGTCAAAAGGAAATAGAATAAATTTCATATCAATTAGCTGCTACATATTAAATGAGAAATCAAATCTTAACTACTCTACTGTGCGATGGTATCTCAGTTTTCACTCTGATGTGAGGTATATCAAATTTTTGAACAATAACCTTGCACCCAATTCAAAACGTACCTGTATTTTCTAGCAGTGTCTTAGGTGTGTTTGGTTTGTTGATGATTACAATCAGCTGACTAAGGACAAGCGGTATGTATGGTCTTGTATCATGACCTGTACACACAAAACCAATGACTTTCATGTACTGGAAATCAAACTACAGCAAGCATTACTGAAGGACTGATCAACATGTCTATCTGGTACTGGACTGTACTATGTTAATATTAAGAGTTTGAATCTTTTCTACCACCTAAACAATGTGTGAATGTACGCATTAAAACACAGACTCATGTTTGCCATTACATGATAAAATATGAACTACAATGAATTAGGCCTCTTGAATCTCAGTTAGATACATAATTGCATAAAGTTAAGTAAGAAATGTATTTCAGAGTTACATGCTGTTTTACGCATTTTACTGATATACACTTACCCAGTTTTACAGATATCTCTCCAATTGCCCAGGTAGCATTATTGCATACAGATATAAATTCTGGGTTTAAATTCTGTCCAAGAATAGGAAGAAAGTCAGCTGCAAAGAAAGGAAATAACACATGTAACATGCACTTCACTATAACATTCTACTTACACAATTGCATAATAGAATGTTAACCTCAAATCAGAGTCACTAAGTGCATGTGACTGAAACTCCATGTGAGTTGTCATCAGGAAAGGTTCTCTACCTACAGAAAATCTGAAGATAAAAGTGTGAATTTATTTTCAGTTCTTGACAATACCTCACAGAGCACACCACTTTTAAAAATTTCCTTCTGATTACATTTCCTACACATAAGTCTTTTAAATTATAAAGCTTATATTTCAAAATCGATGTCAACTTCCACACTGCTATGTGCAATGTCTGATTCTTGAAGAAGATGCTGTGAAGATTCTGGTTGAAACAAACTAAAAGTTTATACTTGATTATGGTGTGGTGTATTTTCATTCGTTTTAAATTAATTAGGTTGTGCGTTCAAGTACTGTACTACAATTTTATGTATGCGAGACCCATGAGGGAATACAAGCGTCTTTACATGGCTGCCCCCAAAGAATTGTGTTATGTAGGTCATAAAAGAATGGCATGTGTGTCAAAGAACCTGGAGACATTAAATGCAGGAAACCATCATGAGTAAAAGTAATTAAAGCTATCCCCGTACGAGGCCGTCAAGGCCCATAGGGCTGTGAGACGTTGAGGGTCCCACATTATCTAGACAATCGGCTCAAACATGGTGGTAAGGTTGTCAGCCTTACACGCCAGCTGCGCTCTACTCCTCAGGAACATTACTTAATTAATTCCTGGTACTCATTTCTGTTAGAGGCTGAGTTGACCCCAGGACCATAGTGCGGCTGGAAGGATTAGGTCAACTGAAAAAATCCAATGACCTCATCGGGACTTGAACCCGCGACCTTCCAGCATGAGAAACAAAAGTAATTTCTGAAATTGCAGTGCACATTTTACTGCATGGGCACACTCATCTAAACAGAAAATACATTCCCCAAATACCATTACCAACACATTCATACTTACATATACAGGGTAGCACATGCTGGAAGCAAGCCTTTGTAAGATCACCAAGCAGAGCAAAGGAACTCTGGCGCACCTCAGGCATGGGGTCCTGCATGCACTGGTATAGAAGCTGCATTATGTTTGAGTTTATCACGAGTTTTTCTATGTGGCCATCAAGCCCCTCCGCCAAACCTGACAGCAAATCCAGTGCCACGATCATGAAGTCTTTGTCTGGGGCTTCAAATTGTTCAGGATTCTGTGTATTTGCCTGACAGAACAATTATTAAATATTAAAAAAAAAATAAAAATAAAATATCACACACACATGTAATATGCTACAAAGCAACAGTGATATTTACATATCTATCGCATTCAAAAAGATGCGGCAAACAAAGTAAAATACTTAAAAATCACCAGTAGCACAAGGAACTCGGCGTTTCCACAATGGACAGCATCGACACCCAGGCAGCTGGACTATATATGTTATTTCAGAACTATTTTAAGAAGTGACTGGGGAAAAAACCTATCTTTACATTAAGTGCGAGGGCACACCAAAGAAACTGGCAACCGCAATGAAACCACAATTTACAAGCAACGTCACAGATTTCAAACAGGCAACTGGTTTCCAGATTAACAGGTGCACACTGAGAAAACTTAAGTTTGATTAGTTGCTCACATCATCTCAAGAGAGTGGATTCATCTGACTCATTACAAGATTGAATTCATTAATTTCATGCACCTCTCTTCTGCAATGTCAGATAATAATACTGACTCCGTCATAACATGATGGCGGTTGAGATGGCATAAGACGAGAGGACGGGAACATAAAACATTAGGTGCATCTGTTCTTCTGTGACAATTTAAACTCAGGTTCTTTATATTGTTTCGGAACTTGAACAGGATCCAGACGCCTTCATCTCATGTGAAATCCTTTCCGAAGCCAAATCTATTTTGTTCCACCTAGCACAGTCTGCATGGCATTGGTCACACATTCCAGGATCCTGTTCAATTAACTGCACAAAACCAAAATTAGTAGCTTCATCAACATTTCATGCCATCCAAAGAAGCAAATGAACCACAGAAGTGTGTCAGAACAGCTGAACCCAGTAAACTATGCTGCAATGTAACTGTGAGAAGACTGGCTTGCTCATTTGCCTGGGAGTGGAGTTTCCTAGTCTTCCATGTGTTGCAGTGCAATCGCATTGCTGTTTCCTCAGTTTGTGTTGCTCAATTCAATTCCATGTACTTCTTCCATCGTCTGGTATGTAAAAGACAAAAGACCATGACGTTTTGGAGACTGGATCTGTCTCAGTCTTCAGGTGGGTAGGGAAGGATAAACTTACTCAGTTGGGCCTGTTAGAAAGAGCTAGTCTCAATCACTGGTCTTTTGTCTTTTACATACCAGATGATGGATGAAGTCCAAAACAAGCCAAAAGAAGTACAGTATACACCATCGTCAGAATCCTTTCAAGTCTATCTTAATTCCATGTGTTCAACACAGTCTGACAACAGTTCTCGGAAATTGCGGTTGTCAGTTTCCTAGGTGTGCCCTTGCATAACCCTCTTGACTGCTGACATGGCTGGATAAAACATCAAGGGCGCAACATATGTATACAATTTGTTTCTGACTGCACAGATCTCATAGGAGGGGGGATTTCAGACTGGGATATCTTAGATGAAGCAATATGTTATGGTCTGTGCTCGTCTGGGAGAAGGCCGCACCATAGCTCAAGCGATTAGTCACTGGCTTCCCACTGCGGCGGCCCAGGTTCAATCCCGGGTCTGGTCAAGTAGGATCTGAAGTGGACAAAGTGGCGCTGGGGTGGGTTTTTCCGAGTACTTTGGTCCCCCCCCCCCGACAATCTTCATTCCACCAAATTCTCCATCATCATAATCACCCAGGGCAGGCTACAATAGGCCAATCAGTGGCCTCTGTGCTGAGTGGACCCAGTTGGACTCCACTAAGCGAATTAAAAAAAAATTAGTCTGGGAGATATCACCTATGCAGTGGTCAAACATTTAAAATCCTCATATTACAAATTAAAATAGATTCAGTGGATCAGAAACATGAAACAAATAAAACAAGAGATTGTCTGACGAGGCAGTGGTAGAGCAAATAAAACACAGAGACAAAAGCAGCAGGTTTCAAAATATGTGAGAGAAAAATACAATAACAAGTTTACTTACAATGTGTTGGTTCAGTGTCTGCTCGACAAGCGAAACGCACCGCCGATATACTGGTTCACAATATGGAAGGAAACCTGACTGCAGGGCAGTGGCTACACTCGACAGGCACTGAAAACATGCAAATAATGACTGGCCCAATATCAAATTAAGAGCAGTAAAAACGGTTCATGTGTATGATGAGCATTATATTCAGATACAAAAGAATCACAACGGCTTAAGGGCCATAATGCACATATCTACATCTGGGCAGTCGGTGACAATCTGCAACCATTTTACACAGCGGAAAATGCTGGTGTTGATATAAATATACAAGTGCCCTTTGCAAACTTATAACGGTATTCCTTCCTCTAAACGTTTCAAAAGATAACCCCTTCAAAACCGTCTCGTAAGATTGAGATCGCCATATTACTAGAACACTAACCTCTAGAAGGGGGAACAGATCTTTGTCTTCGTCCTTCAATATGTTCCACTTTTGGATGAGTGGAGGCATGAGGAGGTTGATATAATCAACTTTATTCAGATGATGACCGACAGAGTCAGCCAGTGTGCCAATAGCATCATATAGAATCAGGAGATTTTTGTGCTGAAACAAACATTATGCAAAATAAGAACCTGATTCAGAGGCAGGGCAAAAACATAACTGCATGGGCCGCAGGATCTTTACTTGTGGCTGTGAACAGAGAGTGTTACAGTTATTTGTAGTTAGATCTGTAAGTGGCCAATAAATCCATTCAGCAACCCAAACACTATCTACAGTCACTCCACATATGTGATAATACGAAAAATATAAGAGAACCCAAAGATAACCTTGCAATGAAAAGCTTTACCTGATACTTGCTGAATGCAAATACCAAAGTCTCTAGGATGAACCCCAGGTACGGAACTAGTTCTGTGCAGGCCTCTTCTTCAAGTGTTGCAAATGCTGAACATGCTGCTTCTTGAACCCTTTTGTTGCCATCCAACACCCGCTTCAACAACTATAACCAAATAACTTACCGTCAGTTACATTAACTTAAGAAATTGAACTTGCTACCAAAAATAGGTAGGAATTCTCATGAGACAAGGTCCACAGAAACATTTAAAGGGAAGTAAACATCGCCAGTTCTCTTGCAAACTTGTTTTATTCCCAGAAGACTGCTTTCTTCATAGTCACCACCGTGAAAGTCTCAAATCTTACACTGTTTTATTCTTTTCACTGCAGTCACATACCTCTGTCATGAGTGGCTTCAGATAGTTGTCATGGGGTTGACTCACGACCCAGTGTGAATATCGGCTGAGTGTCCAACATGTGATGGCCCTCACAAGGGCCTTCTTGTCTGACAAACAGTTGATAAGGTAAGGAATTAATTCTGTGAGATGTGGGATCATACCAGTCATGCAACCTGAAACAAGAGCTTAACTTAAGAAGTCTGTAACTTGCAAATTTAGTCAAAGTTCTGCCAACACTTCATTTGCACAAATACGATGCAAACGTTTTGCCCCTAAATACAGGCAGAGATATTGGCCATGAACATTTTCTGAGGCATCTGCATATGCAAATTGCATTTTTAATGAAATGCGTACCTTCTGCTATGGCACCCAGAGCAAGGATGCCGGATTCTTTGATTTCCCATTCTTGGTGAAAAAGCGTTTCCTTGAGAATTGGCACTAATACAGGAAGCAACTCTTCCCGGAACACATTGGCAAGTACATCCAAAGCAGCAGCACTGCATTTCCCTAGAAAATATATGGGAATATCAATAAATGGTGTAAATGTACAAGCACGGGTGAATATTTATTTACTGTTTACTTAACACTTTAAATAGATCAAATTACATAGCGTCGAATGATAAGAGCCATAAATAATGAATGGCAAGGGATGTGGAAGGATGTAACTGTGGTCTAATTTTAGGTATTATGTCAGAATTAACTTGGAGGGTCTGAGGATAATCATGAAAACATCAGTTAAGGTCAGCCCATGTCTGGACTATGATTTGAACCCAGATTTCTTGAATATGAAGTGGGAGTGCTACCCAATTAACTACACTGTTCAGTAATGTTCATTACAAGGTGTTAAGAAGGACGTTCAACACTATATAGAGTGACATACTGACANAAAAAAAAAAAAAAAAAAAAAAAAAAAAAAAAACCAAAGAAGTCTATTACAAGAATAATACAAATTCTGACGCAATGGCTTTGTACTCATGCAACTGATTATTCTGCATCATGCAATACATGACATTCTACATAAGTCAACCCTTTGTTGTGCCACCTGAGTTTAATGCATCTTGACGCCATTACACCAGACGATTTAAATGTCTCTTATACAATTCAGAACTCTTAGGTACAGCATGCCTGCATTTTATGCCAATTTGAATTACGTAAATCTGAAATAGTGTGATATAACAAATATGAAGCGCAAAAGTTTGAAATAATGTGAATCCCCCACCACAAAAAAAAATTACCAATAATCATGTTGTGTGTTTCAAAACTTTGCTTGAATCATGTGAGGTCTTCAGGAATGCACCATCACATAAAATACAACCACTCTGTACTAAGAATAAGCAAACCCACAAATGACTTCTCTGAGACCTGAATGGAACATTCTGCATCCCCCGAATAAGTCACGTCCACCAACCCCTTGGGTCTGATGCATGCCAAACTATGTAACAAGTTACACATATGGACAAACATTACAATTAAACAAACAAGTTAACAGGTCAACTGTGCTTACTAAGATTCCAATCCGACAATGAACTGTCATCATCCATTCCATCGTCTTCTTCCTCTTCCTCATCCCCATTCTCTTCAGAGTGTTTGATTGTGTGGGTTCTTGACTTGTGAAACCTTGGTCTGATATCTTCTTCTCGGTCTGGAATCATTTCGTCTTCCTCAACATCACCCTGCAACAATGCAAGGTTACATCATCAGGGCGACATATCCATGACTTAAAGTCTCAGCTGGCTGTTACCTTTTTTGTATTAAAGGTGACCCTTATCTGATAAAGCCCTTATCTTACTGTCTTTGAGACAAAAAGTGCCAACTGGGAGATCATCTATCAAAAGCTCTGCGACAGCTTCTAAACATGTGGATACAAACTCTGTGACTTGTAGTCTGCAAGCGAACTATACCGACCGAGTGACCACCTCTTGTCGGCGAAGTTAGTGCCAACTTCTGTGGATAGAGGTGTCGTGTGGTCAACGCAACAAATCCCCACGGCTGTTAATCTTGGTTTTCTAGACTGGAGCCGCTACTCCTTTGAAATAGCTCCTCAATTATCCTCATGAGGCTGAGTGGACCCTGTTCCAGACCCGTTACTTCTCAGAAAATCTTGTAGGGCCGGGAATCGAACCGCGATCTCTGAATCTGTAGGCAGGAACTCTGACCACTAGACCACAAAGGCAGTCTTGAGAAAACTCAATATAAAGGCCACTGGTCACTATAAAACAAAAAATTCGTTCCATAAGCAACATCAATATAGCTATCACATGATCATGGCTTATTATTCTGAAGATAGGAAGGGCACTGCTTTACCCAGAAATGATGCATTGCACTCACTGTGGGAGTATAAGCTTCCTGCACTGTACAATATGGTGTGAAGTGGACATAAGAACATATATAACCTTACACTGAGATTTCCTCTGGACGGAAAGCACAAAACTTCCTTTAACCAACACAACTCAACCCCAATGGGTTCAGTCAATGAGGCAGATGAAGAAAGGAAACTTAAATTTTATTACCAAGAGAACAAGAATCTAGCCACTGGCACACAAAATGTGAAATAATTCTGGCTAGGATGCCAATAAGAGGAGGTAAACATAATATAATTGCCTTCCTACCAATGGGAGTCAAGGCAGCTCAGTCAGTATAGTGACTGGCTACGGGCTGGATGTCAGAGGGGTTGGAGTTCGAGTCCTGGTAGGGTCAAGAATCATCTCTCCTGCATGTTGTCCAGACTGCTTTTCATGCCCAACCAATCTCCTTTCGAATGGGTACTGAGGTCTTTCGGCTGACGAAAAAGCAGCAGGGGAGTGAAGCCAAAAGCTCACTTCCAATTAGTTCCAAGGTCAAGAAATAGTGGATCTATACATCCACAGCACAACACCTTCATGGCATAATGCACAGTTAGTTAACCACAAAAAGACAACTTTACGTTACCGTACCTTCCTACTAATGAGGTCCATTTACTTTAACATGACCCATCACCAGGACCGATGTACTTTCAGTTTCAGTCTCACATTAGATCAGATCATAATTTCTGTGAATGTTGAAACTGATTCTGATACAAGACCCTGAGAAGGCTAACATTAATAATTACTATGCTGTATACTAATTAGAGTTTTTGTTAACTACATTAGTAGCAAAGAATATTTTTGGAGCATTTTCTTGCACACAAGTTTTAGCATGAAAGCTGGAAATATTTGCCATTCCTGATCTAAATGACTGTAAACTATGGCAGTGGTCCACAACTTAGATCAGTTTTGTGGAAATCCTAAGAAGGGTCAAGAAAGAGTCTTTTCAAATGCTGAAAAGTAACTGCAAGAGGTTCAAGTTTTAAGGCCAAAAAGTCCTGCTAGTGGCTAGTTCAAGGTCACAGCAACAAAGGCTGAGAAACACTGTACTACAGTGACGGAATACACAATTCCTAACAACAGTTAAGACATCACGTGCAGCTATGGTTTACTTCTAATTGAAGACTCTCTCTCACCACTGTCCCACCACAAGAGTCATTATTAATACAGAATCTTGGTTTGGCAACCACTGGCCTGTCCCATTATATTTACAAAACAGAACTAGCATTGTTAACTACATATACTTCCACAATTACAAAGTGAGGAACTTCATGTGTACTCCTCACCAAATATTATAATAATCAAATCAAGGAGAGCAAGACTGGGCTAAGGATGCAGAACGTATGAGCCAGAAATGCACACAAAATTTTGGTAGGAAAACCTAAAGGAAATGGATCTTACATAGCATTGGAGGGTGTGGAGTGGATCCTCATTGTCTCATGAACCTTTGGTTTCCATGAAATTTTGGGAATTTATTGAGTGGATGAGCAAGTATTTATTTCTCATGAAAGACTCAGGTCCATGGAGTTAAGTACCGCTAGCATTTATCTTTTACTAGTTACATTTGCTGCCATTCTCACAGTTTCCCACAGGAAACAGGGGCTCAGAGATATCATGAACTAATCCCAGAGATTTGAAATTCTGATGGCAGTCGCCACGGAAGATGACTTGTCTCACTATGACAAATCAGTAACTATCTACAAAATTACATGGCACCACTTCTCAGAGTACAGTAATCTTCATGAAACGCATCTGACACAAAGCATACTTAAGCAAGAGAGGCAGGAAGTCTTTTAGTTTCCGTAAGCAGTTTTCTCAGTCAACATACACACACACATACATGACTGCTACAACCAAATCTATGTTGATNGGGGGATGGAAGAGAAAGAGAGGGCCAGGAAGTGGGGTCAGGGTTACTTACTGCTTACTTAACTATGCCATCTGTAGCTCAGAAGAAATAGTGTGGACAGAGGAAGGAAGAAAAGAGAAAGAAGAACCAAATTATAAGTGATATGCGGCCCCCCATTCTCTGTACACAAATGGATTAACTCCATGTCTTGGGAGAGGGAGGGTTATTTACCAATGTTGTCAGTATACAGATTATGTACCAATAAATTGTAGGATGACTGCTGAATTGAGAAGGATTTGTACGAAAGCAGTGTTTGCTTAAACAAGGTGTTATCCTGGCATTTGCCTGGAGGTACTGAGGTAAACCATAAAAAACCTCAGTTGGGATGGCAACTGCCTGGCCAAGATTCAAAGTGAGCACCACCCAAACAGAAGTCCAGAATTTTAATGCTAGACAAACCTGTTTTGTATGTGCATATCACTTATTTAAATTACCTAATGAAGCCCACCTTCTCATCAAAATAACACATGCACAGTTATTCTGAAGTTCTCATATCAGTGTGGGTTATCTTGAAACAAATTTTTGCAGAATCTTGTTTCAAAAAGAAATATATATTACACCACGCTGCAAGAATATGCTTCCCCAAGCTTAGTGAATGTCACACTTAAGGGAAAGATCAAATTAACCTCAAACTGCTATGACCAGTCAGACCATGGCTCCATATCTGCCGTTACATGCAAATGGCTCCTGATGCCACAGGCATAAAAAAGAACAATGCAACCAGCTGCAGAAAATATAGATGTTCATCAATGGAGGATTTTGTGTAGTGTAATAGCCATTTCGGGGCATGCAGGATAGTTGGTTGAGGTACTATGATACAAGCTGGAAGGTAGTGAGTTTGATTCCCAATGAGGTCATTGGGGTTTTCAATTGACCTGATCCTTCCAGCCACATTATGGTCCTGGGATCAATTCCGTCTCTAACAGAAATGAGCAGCAGAAATCTTCCTGTGGGTAAGGGGCAGCTACACATAAGGCTGACAACATCACTGCCATCTCTGAGCCGACTGTCTAGAAAATGTGAGAACCTCAACATCTCACAACCCTGTGGACCTCCACGGCCTGTTACAGGGATAGCGTCACATTTTTTTACAGTAGACATTTAACTTAATACACACTGATAAAAAAATCAACATTTGGCATGTCTTGCAAATACGGTCACAACTGTATGTCTATGCAACACCATAAAACACCTGCAATGATAAGTGTAGTGAACACTGGTTTGTAGTTTTATGATCGTGAGCATACTGAGTACAGACTAAGGACTTAGTACTCAGTTTCCAAAACAGGCCTGCTGTGACACAGCAGGGAAGAAAATCAGCATAACACTTCAAAGAAGCAAGCGACACATCAACACATCACATGTAGAGTTCTTATTCTATATGCTGCCCATGCCATGTCAGAACTAAACAGACTCAACAGCTACATTTTTCACAGGAAAAAGGGGAAGACCCACAATCTCCAGACACACTTCCAGTCTTACCTGCTGCCAACCCAAGTTCTTTGAGCCCTGGATTCAAAAAAGAAAGGGAAAAGAATATAAAATGTTAACCAACAGGTATGACTTTCAGCAAATAAGCTACAAGCAATGAACCTGAGACCAGTGTTTCTCAACCAGTAAAGTACAAGTACAGATCAAAACTCAAATTCTGTTCTACTTGTTCTTTTATTTCAAAATCAAGCAGATTGAGAGAGAGATTGAGAAGTAAATTCACAAACCATTGGATATAGAACGTGTCACATATCAGAACAAATGTTCCAATTAATCATTGGAACAAGCGTAGTTTGTAAGTCTGTGAGTTTGTCATCTTCAGCTATCTCAAACAGCGGTGTAAAAAAATATTTAACCCCTTTCAGATCTGCTGAACTCAGTTCAACATTCACAGAAATCACATTTTGGCCACATGTCAACTCATTCCAACAGCCATACTTATCTTAGAAAAATAAACACATACATTACTCCTGGTAGTTTCTAATATTGTGACATGATAACATGGTCCCCTGCTAGGTAACAGCAAAATACACAAGTACTGCAACAACAGAAGAACTGTTTGAAATGGCGTTTTCTATGCATGACAGGCTACATAGCGGGCATGAATGAGACAAGTTATTTAGGTGAGAGCTGACAGCTGAAGCAATGAGTTAGCTATGATACAGTTGCCAACTGGTAAGGACGTCAAGAGGGAAATTGAGGAATCTACATTGTTCAGAGCCATAACCTAGCAATGGCTAGTGAAGACAAACTGAGAAGTCAAGTGCATGAACGAGTAAGAGCGTTATAATTACTTATAGTTACAATTTATAAGTGTTCAATAAATCCAATTACCACTCTAAACCACATTTCTAGTCATTAACACATGCCAATATGCAACTGGACCCCAAAGTGGAACCTCCGGCACATTTTCTCCAACCTTTAAAATATTACATGGTAGTGCCACATCTTCATAATAGGAGGGAAAATTATTCAAACTGAGAAATATGCAGATGACATTGTGTTAATGGCTAAGGAAGAAATTGTGCTACAGGGCATGACTGATAGACTANAAGAAGAATCTTTTTACCAGCAAATTGGACTTAAATTTGAGGAAGAAACTAGTGAAATGCTACATTTGGAGCATAGCTCTGTATGGGGCTGAAACATGGACACTTAGGCAGCAGATCAGAAACATTTGGAAAGTTTCGAAATGTGGTGTTGGAAAAAGGATGGAGAAGATCAGTTGGACCGATTATGTGACAAATGAAGAAGTGTTAATTAGAGTCAGTGAGCAGAGGAATATCCTACATGAAATAAGAAAACGGAAGGCTAATTGGATTGGTCATGTTTTACGCAGAAACTGCCTTCTAAAAGAAGTTATTGAAGGAAAGATAGAGGGGTGGATAAAGTGACAAGAAGACGAGGAAGAAGATGTAAGAAGATGCTGGATGACCTTGGGGACAGAAGAGGATACTGTCATTTGAAGGAGAAAGCTCTACATCGCATTAAGTGGAGGAAATGTTTTGGAAGAGACTGTGGACCTGTCGTCTGACAGATTACTGACGATGATGAGTGTCACATGTCACCTGAACTTTGACGGGTCAAAGACCAGTCATGGCATAAAACTACTCTGTTACAATGAAATAGTTTCTCCTTATACATGCTATGTTTCAGGGAAGTACACACTTGTTTAAAAAAATACAGTGTTCCTCAGTTACGCATGCAAACACCATTATGTGTTCACTCACAGACCCATATTTAAGAATTATCTCAACTGCACTGTCACATAATTCCATGAGCATCTCTTCCTCAACACTCACACTCAGTTAACATTTAAATACCCCCCTTTTTAAATTTATCAGATATACTAGTTTTTACAGCCTTCAATTCTGTGCACTCTACTTTCTGGGATTCAGAAACATATCCAAATTTTGAAACAAAAAGTGGCAGGGTACTGCATTATATACAGTGAATTCCTATACCAGAAAATGATAAGTGAGAAGGAACACTAACATAAGAAAGGACCATATCCTGAAACAATTCCAAATCATACCCACCAACACCTTCACCATTTCTGAAGCAAGAGATAACCCACCTTGGTGGAAAAATCATCAGGGAATGATAGAAGAAGCAGAGTTTATAAAAAGGTGATTGTATCAGGACCCCAAAGAAAAAGTTTCAAGAGGAAGAACATACTGCTGCAATAACTGGATTTGGTGAAGAATCTTCTTAATACTGTACTGTACAGAGAATGGTATCACGACTTACCTTGAGCAATATGACATCTATCTCAGAGTACTTCATCCCTCGTACTAGGATAGGAACAAGCCTTGTTAGATGTGGAGACAACGCTTCTTTACAGATCGGTTGTTCTGCTAACGAAAGCCAGAACTCACAAGCTTCCAGAGCCACTCCTTCATCTGGATCCTGGGTCCGCATCAACATGTACTGAAGGGGAAATATACAGTAACTGTTAAAATGAAGTGATGGCAGAAAAGGTTAACACATGATCATGACACAATATTTACGTGAGTCAATATCTGGAACATAACAGATGAATGAGGGTGGTTCACGGTTAACCTGGACTTCTTCTCCTCCAGATGCTGGCGCGAAAAAATTAAACTCTTTCATGGCCAGTTGGTGGCAACACTGCACTCAATGCCCAGACAGAAAGTGGCCATTTGCCCCATTTCTATGCATAAGAGCACGACAGCATCAGAACTTGTCACTCCTAGTGTAGAACAGAGCTGTATCATAAAATTCCTAGAGAAAGTGAAACCTACAGAAATTCTTCACAGGTTAAATGCACAGTATAGGAGCAGACTCTGTCACATTCAAGTGTCTGTGGTTGGTATACTAAGTTTTCTGAAACTGTACCGAAGAATCGAATGTGTGACATGCTCATGTTTAGCCAACAGTTGTACAAAACATGAACCTTCAACCATATCGAAAAGCTGATTTTGGGCGACAGGCAAATTACAGTGTATGATATTATCCAACAGTGGCCTAGGTGTTGCTTGAAACAATTATGTACAAACACTTATTGTTCAAGGAAGCATGTGCCTGGCAGGTCCCAAAGATGCTAACATTTGGACAGAAAGCACAGTAGATGAAATAAATGTGTTAATGTACAGGGGGGATATCCTGAGAAGGAACAAGAGTTTGATGATTCTCGCATGTATATTTTTCGTTTAAAGAGAAAAAAGTCCAGATCAACCTTGAACTACCCTCATACTAACAGTTCTGTGGGGAAAAATCAATTATTTAACAATAATTTGCTGACAAGATAAGTATGAACGGTATGTCAGTCCTACGAAGATGACCATGATTACTTAAGCTGTTTCTGGTGTTCACCAATGAAGACTGCAAAAAACCACAAAAGGTACAAACTTTTGCTTATGATGTTCAAAAATATAACTCGTGTTCTTTTCTGTCTCCCTGGATACAGTGCCTTCCTCCATTTCCATGCTGAACATGAATATATCTTGGAAAAAAAGAGTAATATAGCATTTCAATTTTGACTGAGGATGCCATAGAGGTAAGATTTTCTGGGTCAATAATCAAAAATAGGTTGTCAATACTAAGAAGGGAAAGGAAGAGGGGAAGAAACATGAGTACACCAACAAAAGAGAAATACCATACCTCAATAATATTATGCATGTGAGGAATAAGTCTATCCATCCTAACTTCCAGGAGCATGACCAGAGCACGACACACATTCTTACGCACCTCCGGATCATCATCACTGGCGAGATGGAAGAGATTCTAGAAGTCAAAATAATTCAATTATTATCCACTTAAATGTGAATCTATTAAGTATAAGTCAAATTCATCCATACAGATGATTCTGTACCTCTAGAAATGAATCAATGTGAATCATCAGCGCCTGGGTTCTGGTAATGATGAACTGGTTTACACATGCAATTGCATGGGATCTGCAAAGATACAGAACAATTTCTATCAAAACAAGCTTTAATTATGTAAGATTTGAGGTTTTTATGGCGGTGACTATGAAGGAAGCAGTCTTCTGGGATGTGGCGCAGTGTAGATATTGTGTTGACTGATGTTTTTGAGGACTGTATAGCCTCCATCTCCAGGGCAGAAGAAAAAGAAATCCGCGAGCAAACCAGCGTGAGCAGATGCTAACAAAGTCTGTTAGCACCTGCTCACGCTCACAATATCTACATGGCGCCACATCCCAGAAGACTGCTTTCTTCAAGTTTTAATTACATTATGTAAGGCGGTATACAGGGACCACAATGGTTAAGCAGTCTGTGTGTGTAATTATCTTGGACTTCTCTACTGCTGCGACCTTGGGCTTGAATTTCACTCAGGTTCATGTCGTCTCTCTTATTATTTCTTCTGATGGGGGCCCAGTCTTGTCGTCCTCAGGAACAGCGTTCTTTTGATGTTGTTCTGTATGTTTTTGTGGCACACTGTGTTGTTCTTAGTGTTATTAGTGTGATGGACCAGAATGAAACAAATCAAACTTACAGTTACACCTCTAAAGACGTTAACAAATATCCTAGTAGGAGATACTGTCATACAAATTAATTATAATACAAGAAATACAGTGGAGTCCACATTTAATGATATTCTAAATCTAGATTTTCCTTTCTTTTTGTGGTGATTTTCTATAGTCCCAGACGATATCTCAGGGATAAATTTCATCTGTTTATGATTTGCCTCAGGTGAGTGCTTCCCAACCCCACAAACCCTGCAGACAACTTGAATAGCAATCCCACTACAAGGATAATCACCTTATCTTCGGACTTGAATGTCTGAAGAACTGAAGGAACTTTGGAATGAGAACATTAAGCGGGCGATTGAGAGCATCACTGTCCAGCAATTCCGCAGAGTCCTCACAGATCTTCTGCAAAGCTCCGAATGAACCCTGAAATATATGGGGAATTTTATTTGATAAAAACAAAAAAATTGCATTCACATATGAAGAATATAGAAATACTACATAATATATTTGCAAAGTCCTAGTTTTAAAACATGGAACCACGTGTCATACACTCATCCTCCTTTAAAGAGAAGTATAAAGGACATGAACCAAATTGGTTCTAGATTTTAACAAAAAATATTTTAAACAGTACTTTGCAAACAGAGTAATTATAATAATTTATAAATGAACAACTGAGTCTGGTATCATTGTATGCCTGATGAAGACCCAGTATAAGGGTCGAAACATGTAGCGTCAGTAAAAACAAATGTTGATATAATAGTGTCTGTTTGTTTTAAATATTGAATATTGTTGTGTAGAGTGCATACTTTTGTATACATTTTATGCACCTTGTTTATAACACACAACAGGATGCATACTTCTATGATTACAATTATCCATGTTGCTCTAACCAAATGGTTAAAGCAAAGAACAAGACTCTACAGTTTACCTCGCAGACATTGTAGTCTTGAGAGTCTAACATACTGCAGAGCGCAGGAAGTAGTTCGGGCCATGCCGTCAGCTCCCCTTTCGAGGCAATAGTCGTGATAAGGATCCCAACAGTAGCCCTGATCAAGGGGGATGGATCGCCGACCGCAGACAGACATTCCTGCTTAATAAACTCTGTCACCACTGGGAGGAACTTGTGGAAATGTGCCTTCACGTTGTTCTTCAGAATAAGACCACTCAATGACCTCGTAGGCTCATCTGTAAAGTTGCAGACACACATAAGCACCTTGCCAGGAAGCTGCAGAGTAAATGTGAAGGTAATCAGGCTTGAAACTAGGCAGACATGAGCGGTCAGCTTCATATTCTGGTAACACTACAATTCTGCCATAAAATTGTAAACTTCTAGAATACATTATGGTCATATCATTTATAACACCATAATTATACAAACTGTCCTAGTGTCAGAAACAAATACTCTTGTACTGCTACACAGATGTATGTAAACGCCATACAATCCTGCCTTCCACATTATATGGGGCACAATGAGGAAACTCAAGTGCCAACACTTCTGGTCTGTAGTTGAGTGGTGCCTCGTTCTCAGTACAGCATGTTTTAATGCTAACTGTCTCTATACCTGGCAAGCAAGCTCCTTAATATACAACAAATCACTGCATTAACAGACATTTAGATACATACCTTCTGATGTCAATTTAGTCAACACAAATATCAGGTAGTTGTTGAAATCTGGAAATTTATTTAATTCCTCCAATTTATGTGGCAAAGTTAAGGAAAATATAAGAAAGAAAATGATTTCTCTGATCCTAAACTGTAAAATGCAATTAACTGTGGCTACTGCCGACTCTGCACTGTCATGGAGCGATGTGAACTCGATGCACTTTGGTACATGATCTTATGTCCATTCCCAGCGCTGCCAGCAAAACCCCAACTCAGAACTATGGAAAAAATGTAACATTTTCCTTTAGTTATGTATATCACCCCTGTGCTCCAGGTTCTGCAAACATAAAACCTAACAAATAAGGCCAAATGCCTTACATAACCTCCATGGATGGTTCGGGATTGCTACAGTTCCTTTATAATGTTGGAGTGAAACATCACATTCTCTGAACCAATACTAAACTGTGTAATGTTAAATTTTAAGAGTAAAATTATGATGATAACCTATACAATATTGTGCTGTCAAAAATACCCAGAATGCTTCTCAACTCTGTATGTGTATGACGGAATTAAAATAAACATAAGATAGACAATCGACACCCCTGAATTGTCTCAACCCTCCTGAGTGGGTATGTGATAAGACAACATCAGGTGAATCAATACATATCAAAATTCTGTAAAAAGCATGGCCCAACTGAAGCTTCACAACTCATAAATAATTAGACCACTAACTACAAGTGTCTATAGGTTGTTTCAAATAACCCCTACATTCTTCACTATACATCATGGCATCACGAGTACTTCCATATTGTTTAAATCTAGGATCATACTGAATGATACACTTAAAATAACTGAGCCTAATTATACTGACAATAACATTGGATATGAAAAACAATAAATAAATGAATTAATTAAACAGCATAGACTGTTACATATACCGACAGAACTCACTACATGGAGCTGAGAAGCTGCCAGCAGGCCAGCAACTCAAGAATTTCCCAACATTTTATGGAACCCAGAGGTTCGTTACTGTGTTCACAAGAGCCTACCACTGGTCCCTATCCCGAGACAGGCTAATCCAGTCCATACCACTCTATCCTAAGATGCATTTTAATACTACTCTCCCATCCACACCTAGGTCTTCCTATTGTTCTCTTTCCTTCTGGCTTTCCCACCAAAAGCTACATGCAGTCTTCGTCTCCACTAGTTACATATACCAAACAAATAACTACCTCCATGGTGTGTGCTGAAAAGATGCTAGTTCATCTGATCAAGAAATTCTCCACTTTTATGGAATTTTAAGGTTCATTACCATTACACAGGCCTACAAAAAAAAATTTTTTTTTGGTGTCTAGGATTTTAGAACTAATTTTAGTTATATTTAAGGCGCTCAATCTAAATATAAAATCAGTTTTTCTCTACCAGCTCTACTTTTTTAGATCAGCGTTTTTGTAACGTGCAGTTCTACACAAAATGTGTAGAAATGGTTTGGAGAGAACCCAAGAACCACTTCGATGACTGTTATTTCTGCCTAGTAAATATTACTGGAATCAATCGAAACAACCGTAGCAAGTGGACTTATCCTGATTTAGCCTCTGCAAGACGCCCAGTTCCTCACTCAGAGGAAGTACCGATCCCAACGTTTCACCAGCTACCAGAGCTCTGTGAGGATGAGTATTTTCCCTCTAATCACCCTTCTGATTGTAATGAAGGTGACAGTGATTATGAAGGGATGTCGTCAATCCCTCAACGTTTTAACCAGGATGAGTTAAATGACCTCATCAGAGATCTCAACCTGTCAAAAGAAGCTTCTGAATTACTGGCTTCTAGGTTGAACGACAAAAATTTACTGGAACAAGAAACCAAAATTTCCTTTTACCGCACAAGAGAAAC